AAAACTTCCATAATTTCCTCGACAAGATCCGAGAAAATAGCTAGCATACATCTTTGAAAGGTTCCTGGTGCATTACATAATCCAAACGGCATTCTGCGATATGCAAAAGTACCATAAGGACATGTAAATGTCGTCATTTCTTGATCATCCGGATGAATTGGGATTTGGAAAAATCCAGAGAATCCGTCAAGAAAACAGAAATATTTGTGCTTAGCCATCCTCTCCAGCAATTGATCAATAAAGGGAAGTGGAAAATGATCTTTTCGAGTAGCCTTGTTTAGCTTGCGGTAATCAATGCACATGCGCCATCCAGTGACTATTCGTGTAGGAATCAGCTCGTTTTTGTCATTCTTTACAACAGTAATTCCTCCTTTCTTTGGTACCACATGGATAGGACTTACCCATTTACTGTCCGAAATGGGGAAAATGATACCCGAACTCAATAGTTTAAGAATTTCTTTTTTAACAACATCTTTCATGTTCGGGTTGAGGCGTCTTTGGTGCTCAATGCTCGGCTTGTGATCATCCTCCAAGTAAATGCGGTGCATGCAATAAGATGCCTTTATGCTAACAATATCATCAATGGTGTAGCCAATAACTCTGCGATGGCTTCGTAAGACTTGCAATATTCTTTCCACTTGTTGAAGATCTAAATCAGCATTCACAATGACAGGATAAGTGGAATTCGGGCCAAGAAAAGCATATTTTAAAGTAGATGGAAGTGGTTTGAGTTCTACTTCAGGTGCTTTTCCTTTGACATTAAAGGATTGATCTTCAAGATTAAGCACTTCAAATTTAAGTGCTTTAGGCATCGGTAAAGATATGTTTTGCAACATTTCGAGACATAAATTCACCATTTCATTGGCTTGCTCATCTGCAATAGATTCTCGTATAGTGTACTCCATGGGATCTTTAGAAAGCCAATAAGACTTATCAAATGTCTTTATGATACAAGAGTCTATAACATCAGCATAGTAACCATCAAGGACACAAGGTGTATCCTTACTCAGCTCTTGTACATTGAATTCGATCTTATCATCCCCAATCTCAAGGATAAGGGTACCCTTTTTTACGTTGATAATTGCTCCTGTCGTAGCTAGAAAGGGTCTCCCGAGAATAACAGGAACTCGGGCATCTTCTTCCATATCCAAGACAACAAAGTCTCCTGGGATATAATATTTGTCAATTTTGATAGGAACATCTTCAAGAATGCCAATAGGATATTTGACAGATCGATCAACCAATTGTAATGCCATTGTTGTTGGTTTGGGATCCCCCAAGTGTAGCTTTTGACATAGTGAGTAAGGAATTAAGCTAACACTTGCACCAAGATCACAAAGAGCTTTGTTAACTTTAGATCCACCAATGATACATGGAATTGAGAAGCTTCCAGGATCACGTAACTTGGGTGTAATTTTGTTTTGGATTATGGCACTACATTCTTGGCTCATTGCAACAGTGGCTGGATTCTCCTTCTTCTTTGTGAGAATATCTTTGAGAAATTTAGCATATGAAGGAATTTCTGTAATGGCATCAAGCAATGGAATTGAGATATCCAACTGTTTGATAACATTCAAAAATTTAGTTCTCCGCTCCTCCATATTAGCTTTCTTTAATCTATTCGGATAAGGAACTGGGGGAATATATTTCCTTACCGAACTGCTTTTTTCTTTCTTCGACCCTTCACGATCATCAGATGATTTCGGCATGGTACCGACATCAAGCTCATTGTTGTTGTTTCCACCTTTCTGTTGTTGCTCGGCCCTTTCCTCTAATACTTCATGTTCTTGTTCATCACTTGAATGGGGAAAGGATTGATGTTGTTTCCCACTCCGAGTAGTGACGACATTGATTTGCTCCCTAGGGTTTTCAGGACAAGCAGGAAGCTTACCTGTCACCTTAGTTGATGATGTGGATGCTTGATTAGCAATTTGATTCTCAAGCATCCTGTTGTGAGCTCGAAGTTGACCAAGTTCTTCGGTGATTTGTTTCAGGGTTTCAGCTTGAGATAATTGGGACTTGAGAAGTTGGTCAACAATGTTTTCTAGGACAGGAGTTTGGGTTGTTTCAGGAGTGGGGAGAAGTGCTTTTTGCTGTTGATTTGAAGGGTATGGAAGATTTTGAGTGGGTTTATAGTGTTTTTGGTTCACAATACCTTGGCCACCTCTGAATTGCTGTTGTTGGTTTTGGAAACCGGGTGGTGCACTCCGGTAAGATGGTTGTGGATTAGCAGCTCCATTTTGATTGCTCCAGGAAAAACCGGGATGGTTTCTTCCTTGAGGATTGAAATTACCAAATTGATTTTGTTGGGGCTGCCTGTTGTAGTTGACATAGTCAACTTGTTCCATTGCTTCCCATGGACAAGTAGACTGATTGTGTTGTCCACCGCAAGATTCACACATTAGAACGGGAATGGGAGCTAGAGTTGATGTTGAGTTTTGCACAAGAGAGACTTGTGCCATCTTTTGGATAAGATTCATCATGCTATCGACCTTTGTGGTTATGGCCGACATTTGATCAACTTCATACATGCCTCCGATTTTTGGTGGAGCAGATGATCGCTCAGAATACCATGTTGATCCATTTGATGAAATATGCTCCATCAATTCTTCTGCCTCTTCAAGTTCCAGGCACATGAGTGATCCATTTGCTGACGCGTCCACGAGTATCCGAGAATTTTCATGTAGGCCTTCATAGAAAGCCGTCATCAAGTGCCAGTTTTGGATGTTGTGATGTGGACACTGTCGCTGAAGATCTTTGAATCTTTCCCAAGCCTCGTAGAGGGGCTCATTGGGATTTTGCTTGAAATTTTGAATCATTCTTCGGATTTTCGCCGTTTTAGATGGCGGGAAAAATCTTTTGAGAAATTCACCATGAAGTTGATCCCAAGTGGAGAAGTGATTATCCGGAAAAGAGTCAAGCCAACTCTGAGCTCGATCCCGTAGAGAGAATGGGAACAGGCGTAGTCTGACAGCATCAGTTGGCACACCATTGATTTTGAAGGTGTTGCAAGCTCGAAGGAACTTTGTGATGTGATTATTTGGATCCTCCGTTGGCGCTCCGCCAAATTGAATATTTGAAACCATATGAATGATAGCAGGCTTGATTTCAAAGTGATTCATGTTAACCTCTGGTGGAATAACACTGTCATGCTCATCCACGGGAGGCGTAACATAATCATACAACGGTTTTCTGGTCCTCATAACCTGATCCACGATTTGTTGATCGGGTACCTGCTCATTAACAACAATATCGTTTGACATTTTTTTTATTTTTTTCTGTTCACGTATGTGCTTTTCAATGTCAGAGAAGAATAACAATTCACAATTCGCACCACGTGAACGTGTGAGCATAAAGAAGGGAATTGGGATTGGGGAAAGAGAGAGAGAGAGATGAAAAGAAAAAATAAATGCGGAATTAATTAATTAATTAAGGTTCGCACGTAGTCAATTGGTATAAACCGAATAAGACTAGTGAGTCCTTAAAGCAGTATGAATATATACAGTAATTCACCAGGATGCGGCTAGGCCGACAGATATGGTGATTTGAGGGAAGAAAAAAAAATAGCTACAGTAATAAATACAGTCTCCACCAAGATGCAACTATGCCGACAGTCTGGGGATTATTAAGAAAAAAAATAAAAATAAAAAGTGCACTCCACCAACAAGTGGACACGGCCTACAAGCTTGGGGATGCAAAATTTAAAAAAAAAATGCTGAAATTAAAGTGCGGAAATTAAATTGCGATAATATAAGTGCACAAATTAAATTGCGATAATTAAAGTGCAGAAATTAAAAAGTTGGGGTTTGAACCACCATAAAAAGAAAAATAAACGGTCCGACCATATAGGCGGAGTATCCTTTGAATTATAATGTACAAGTAAGCGGTCCCACCATATAGGCGGAGTATCCTTTTAATTAAAATGTAAAAATATGTTCAATGGTCTGAATGTCCAGATATGTTCGGTCAACAAGTCCAACTCCAATGCTCAGGTAAGATGATTAATCACAGTCCATTTTTTTTTTTTTTGATTTTTTTTTTGATTTTTTTTTTGAACTTTAATTAATCACTTTTTTTTAACCTGCAAAGGTAAAAAGATAACAACAGAATAATATACACACAATTTACAATAACTAAAATCGAAAGTTTATGCTCTCAATTTTTTTTTTCAAAACCGCTTCCCCGGCAACGGCGCCAAGTTGGTGTGTAGCATATAATGGGCACACAACTATTTTTTTACCCAAGGAAGTAGGGTGTCGAACCACAGAGAAGCGGGAAATAAAATAATTAAGCACAAACTAAGGATTAAAGTTGGGAATGCGTTTCTTTTGATTTTTGTTTGCTTGGAAAAGTAATTAAATAAAAGTGATTGAGAGAAGAGATTTTTATCAACACAAAGTTCAACCAATAGCAAGTAGGGGTAGAAATTGGCAACTAATTGTTCAATGCTCATTTGTAAGACATAATTGCTAATTTTATTCTTAGATAGATTGTGAGAAGTTGTAGATAAATATTTTAGGACCCAACACAAGTCACCTAAAATAAGTAACTAGTCAACATTTTCCAGTGATGGCCAAAACGAGACTAGTTGTTTAAGTGCAACGACAACCCTAATTATTAACTATATTATTTACCCAACCCCGTGGTGTAAATAATATAATTAAATATTATGTTCTCCCGTAAAACTTCAATCCGGGACAAGGTAAAAGAAATTTAACGGTGTGTTCAGAAAGTGTTCATTTGTGTATTTAAAAAACAATATGTTTATGATTGAGTACTCATAATATATATCACAAACACAACATAATTAATTTTCTGGACACAACAATCTAAATAGAACAAACTTAACAATTAAAATCAATACAAATTAAAACATGATAAGAACAATTAATTAACCAATTTCTAGCCCCAAATTTATTTAGCTATACATGTTGGGAAACATAGAAATAGATGAATCCATGATTAAAGTACAAGATTTAATGAGATAAGGAAGATCAAACTTGTGATAGATGACAATCCTTGGAGCTTTGATGCTAATCTTGACTTAATCTTGGATGAGAAAGTGATTAGTTATGGTTGAAGATGGGTTGATGATTTGGGGTTGAGAAATGAAGAGAGAAGGAGGAGGAAATGTTTCTGGGATGTTTAGAGAGAGGTTGGTCCGAGCTTATGTGTGGAGGAAGATGGATTAAGGCAATATAATGATAAGGTGATTAATCATTAATTGTTGGGATTTACGGAACAGATGAGTTTATGTACAACAAAGCGCAGTAAAGTTTCAACAGTGGCAGGTAGCTCAACGGATAAGCACTTCAGGGGAAAACTCGGAGATCGTGGGATCGATTCTCGGCTTCAATATTTGGTTCTTTTCTTTGCCGCGTTTAGAAGGAAATTCCACTTTTATTTTTATTTTTTGCTTCTTTTCTTCAATTTACTCCTTATTTGTTTTGAAGGAAATTCCACTTTTATTGACCTCCAACTTGAACTTTTTATTTTCTTCTTTTGTTCACTCTAATGTATCCAAATAGCATCAAAAGTACCTGAAAATACAAAATACCCGTGTAGGACTGCACAAGTACAAACTAACGACAAATTATAAAAATATGTACAAAAGTAGAATTTTAATAACTAAAATTAACAACAAACAAAGCCTAAAAAGTGTGTAAAATACAAGTACATCACACACCATAGGGCCTTCGGGTGTTTGCAGTAATCCAAATCCTAGGACTTAGAAAAATTTCTAAATGTAGATTTCCCCTTGAGAGCCTTCGGGATATGGCCTCCCTTCCTGATGTGTGAATGTTGGGCCGAGGGCCCAATGCACAGGATTTAGAGATTTTTTGCAAGTGTAGTATGTCATGTAGCCTTCGGTGTAATTTTTCTGGAGTGTAATTTTTCTAAGTGTAATTTTTCTGGAGTGTTGATTCCTTGTGTACTGTAGCCCTCGATTGATAGGTAGCCTTCGGCAATTAGGTCCCTTGAGATGAGGGTGAAATATGTAGGACTTAGAAAATCTTCCAAGTGTAGAGTTTCCCTTGGGAGCCTTCGGGAGATGGCGTCCCTCCATGATGTATGAGTAGCTGACTGGGGGGGGGGGGGGAATATGCAGGACTTAGAGAATATTCTAAGTGTAAATTTCCCTTGGGAGCCTTCGGGAGATGGCATCCCTCCTTGATGTATGAGTAGTTGACCGGGGAAAAACATGTAGGACTTAGAAAATATTCTAAGTGTGGATTTTCCCTTGGGAGCCTTCGGGAGGTGGCATCCCTCCTTGATGTATGAGTAGTTGACCGGGGGGAAAAATATGTAGGACTTAGAAAATCTTCTAAGTGTAAATTTTCCCTTGGGAGCCTTCGGGAGGTGGCATCCCTCCTTGATGTATGAGTAGTTGACCGGGGGGAAAAACATGTAGGACTTAGAAAATATTCTAAGTGTAAATTTTCCCTTGGGAGCCTTCGGGTGATAGCTGCCCTCTGATTCCACGTCACTTTGCAGATGCCCGGGGGCTACTCATTTAGGACAGAATATTTTTTTTAAGTGTTGTTGTATTGCATGGCCTTCGGCCACCATATTCCCTTGGCTGTAATATTGATTGGGCCGGGGGCCCAATCTTTAGGTATTAGAATTTTTTCAAGTGCTGCTTCCCTGTGTAGCCTTCGGGTGCCCGGGGGCTGCTCCTTCAGGACTTAGAATTTTTCTAAGCATAAATTGATGTTGAATCCTGTTGTTGTGAAGAAAGCCAATGAGGAGTGTGTGCCCTCGGCATACACTTTAAAAGTTGTAGAATTTGACCCTTGTCATGGGGAAAGGGCCCTCGGTATTTGTGCATAACAGATGCCTTCGGTGTTTGTTTGAAGTACCGATTTGGTGGACCTTGGATAGTCCAGTCCCTTTGTATTGTTGAAGCCTTCGGTGTTTTTGTGACCGGAGGTGACCAGGTAGTGGACTTAGCCGTTTCCTGATGATATTTCTTTGAGTAGTATCCTTCGAGAAATAGGAGTCTTCAATTACCGGAGGTGTTCCCGTGGGGAGCCCTCGGCATGTTGTGATATTGTTGGAGTGTACTCTTTGATTTCTCGCTGAGTCTACTCCCCTTCACCCCCTCTTTTTTTTTTTTTTTTTGGTTGGTGGTGAAGGGAAGGCATCAAGAAACTTGGTTTCTTGGTAAGGCTGGGCCTATTAGGAGACCATCAGAATACACCAATGGCTCTTCTCCCTCGGGTTAACCTTCCGAGTTCCGAGGGGATCGAGGGACGTTTCCTGGGCACAAGATATGGTGGTCCGTAACCTGCCTCCCCTTGGGGGATGGCGCGGAAAGCGCCTCATTTTTGAAAGTCGTCCCCTCGGCGCTAGACATAGTCCGTGGCCTGCCACACCCTTGGGGTGGTGGCGCGGGGAGCGTTTCGGTTTGGAAGTCGAATCCTGGGCATTTCTCATACCTGTCATACCCTGGGGGTAGTGACGCGGATAGCGTTCCGTTTTTGAAAGTCGAATCCTTGGCATTTCTCATGCCTGTCACACCCTGGGGGTAGTGACGCGGAAAGCGTTTCAAGGAAGGGTTTTCATTTGCACACTAGTTGCAAATGGCCGGGGGCACTACGTGCCGCCGGCACCGATGGTGGCGCCTTCGGTATATGCGTCCTCGTGGGGTACGGCTTTTAGAAACAACACTTGGTGTTAGTTTCGATGTGTAGCCCCCGATACTTGGTACCGAGGGGTCTTCTGTAGGAACACTTGGTGTTCTCTTTTGTCGTAGTTGATGTAGGCGTCTACCCTCGGTACTTGGTACCGAAGGGTCTTCAAATGAAACACTTGGTGTTTCCCAACAGATGTTTGGAAGTTGAGAGGAGAGCATATCCCTGGCACTGGGTGCCGAGGGGTCTTCTTTGGAACATATTGGTGTTTTCCCTTCGTTTCGATGTTTGATGATGGAGGTGTACCCCCGGCACTGGATGCCGAAGGGTCTTCTGTAGGAACACTTGGTGTTTTCATCTTTTCTTTTTTGATGTTGAAGGTGGGGATGTACCCTCGGCACTGGGTGCCGAAGGGTCTTCTGTAGGAATACTTGGTGTTCTCATCTTTTCTTTTTTGATGTTGAAGGTGGGGATGTACCCTCGGCACTGGGTGCCGAAGGGAAATGAAACACATGGTGTTCTTTGTTGTTGGTGATAGGAGTTTCCTCCCTCGGCACTGGGTGCCGAGGGGTCTTGACTGAAAACACGTGGTGTTTTCACTGTTTGTTGTAGGTGTTGATGGTGTCCGCCCTCGGCACTTGGTGCTGGAGGGGGTTCTTCTCGTGGTGAGGCCTGGGGCCTGTAGTCAGTATGAGGGCTTGATGTCTTGAATGTATCTTCATTCTTCGAAATTGGAGGCCTTGGGCCATAGGATAGTACATTCACTAGTTATGAGGGCTTGGCCGCTCTTACATTATTGATAAAATTTAACTAAATGGTGTACATTCCAGTGCCTAGGGACTTCTTTCCCATTGGGGCGTTTGAGCTTGTAGGTCCCGGGTTTGATGATGGCTGCTATGATGTAGGGGCCTTCGAATTTTGGTGCCATTTTTCCTTCCTCGGTTGGTTGGCTGGCTTCCCTCCTCCGAAGGACATAGTCCCCCACTTGAAATTCTCGGGTGCGAACTTTGGCGTCGATGTAGCATTTAACTTGCCTTCGGTAGTTTTCTGCCCGGATGAAGGCCTGCTCCCGGCGTTCTGAAATGAGGTGGAGGTCGAGGGCCATGTTGCTGTCGTTGACCTCGGGGTCGTATTGGATCACCCTTCGGGTAGGAAGGGTGACTTCCGTAGGAGCTTTGGCTTCAAAACCGTAGCAGAGGGAGAAGGGTGTTTCACCTGTAGCTCGCCGAGGGGTGGTGCGGTAGGCCCAAAGGATGTTGTGAAGTTCTTCCACCCAGCCACCACCCTCGGCCTCCAGCTTCTTTTTTAGGCCCTCGAGCAAGGTCCGGTTGGCGTTCTCTACTTGCCCGTTGCCTTGAGGATAGGCAACGGAGGAGAAGGTGTGCTTGATGCCCCATGCCTCTAGAAGGGCACAGAAGGGGGCTGCCTCAAATTGTGTCCCATTGTCGGAGACGATCTGCTGGGGGACGCCAAACCTTGTGAGGATATTCTTGAGGACGAAGTGACGGCACTTCGCCTCTGTGATGCTGGCGAGGGGTTCAGCCTCCACCCACTTGGTAAAATAGTCGACGGCCACAATGATGTATCTGTTGTTGGAGGTACCCCTCGGCAGAGGGCCCACAAGGTCTATCCCCCATCGAGAAAAAGGGACAGATGTGCTGATGGGGGCGTAGTTGACCGCTGGCCTGCCGGGAGCTTTCTGGAAATGTTGACATGCGGTGCACCTCCGGGCAAGGTCAGCACAGTCCTTGGCCATGGTTGGCCAGAAGTAGCCCTGTAGAATGAGCCTTCGGGACATGGAGAAGGGTCCCTGGTGAGCTGAGCAAGTGCCACTGTGCACTTCCTCCATTGCGACCTCGGCTTCATCTGGATGAAGGCACCGAAGTAGCGTGCCATTGTAAGATCGTTTGTAGAGCCTCCCATCTTCGATGGTGTAGCTGGGAGCCCTCAACTTTGCCAGTTTAGCGCGGGCCTCATTCTCGGGTAGCTGCCCTGTGGAGATGAAGGCGGTGATATCTGAAATCCAATCCTCCTGACGTTGTTGTATGTTCATCACGGGGCTTGCATGGATGCTTGAGAGGCTGAGTTCCTCGATTTTGGCAATCTTGGAGATGTGCTCGGGGGAGTCTGCCGAGAGTTTAGATAATATGTCGGCCTCGGAGTTCTGAGCCCTCGGTATTTGAGTGAGAGAGTGTGCCTCAAATACCTTAAGCAACTCCTTGGCCGCTTCCTTGTACTGTTTCATTCTTCCCTCCTTGGCCTCATATTCTTCGGAGATTTGGCCAACGACCAACTTGGAGTCGCATTTGATGTGGATCTGCCGAGCCCTCATGTTGGCAGCCAGCCGAAGGCCACATAGGAGGGCTTCATATTCGGCCTCATTGTTGGAGACCTTGAAGGAGAAGCGGATTGCATAGTAGGCCCTGAAGCCCTCGGGAGTAATGAGGACTACCCCTCCTCCGCATGCTTTGGTCGCGGAGGAGCCGTCAGTGTAGAGGGTCCACCAGTCGTCCGAGGTAGCCGAGGGCTCCCCGTCCGTGGCTGCCCTTGCGGTACATTCTGTCACAAAGTCCGCTAGGGCTTGGCCCTTGATGGCAGGCCTTGGACGGATGTCAATGTTGTACTGGCTCAAGAAGATAGCCCATTTAACCATGCGGGAGGAGCTGGTGGGGCTCCTCATGAG